GTGGCTCAGCAGTAGAGTGCTTGCCTATCTCGTGTGAGGCACTGAGTTTGATCCTCAGCACCACATAAGAGTAAATAAAAAATATAAAGGTATTATGTCCAACTACAACAACAATTTTTTTAAAATATATCATCTGAAGTGATTCCCACAATAAACTTGTAAGATGTTATCAGCCCATTTTACATTTGAGGAACCTCAAGAAAATTTAAATTGACCCAAGTTGTAATTAGTAAATGGCAAAGTTCAACCCATCTCCTGACACCCAAATCAATTTTTTTTTCTGTCCTACTTTGGCTATCTATTTCTAATCTCTATTTTATTTTAGATCAAGATTGAATATGTTCTCCTATGTAGATAAATATTTCATATATGTAGTATTTAGCATAGGAAAGTATGTACCTGGGTCTCTTAAGTCTTTTCTCTGAACTATAAATATCTTGCAAATCCCTGATACACTGAGAGAGCTCGCACTTGAATAACCAATGAACTTCACAGTACAACCTAATGGTTAGAATCCTATTACAGAAATGCCTAGTTCCTAGGAATAAGGAGTGTTGGACAAGTAATGCTTATTCTATTAAGAACCTTTTAAAGTTTTTTTCATAAGAACTATCCATTTTAAAATTTTAAATTGGAAAATACTGTAAATATGATTTTTTTAAATGCCCCAAATTGCTTTATCAGCAGAACCATATTTCCCCACTCCACAAAAATCCTGTTCATTCCATGAAGAGGGGTGAAACAGGGAATCCATCCTTGCCCTGCACAAGGCCACCAGCCTTAGAGGAAGACACAGCATAAACCAATTCAACATCTGCAGCCATAGTGAAGACTTTTGGGGGGTAGTACCAGCTGAAGGGATGATGTGGATTTGAGACTGCCAATTATAACATTATTACCAAGTGAAAGTTTACCTGAAAATGAGCCCCAGTCTGGCTAAGAGGTGGATTTAAGAATAAGCACTATTGGGGCTGGGGTTGTGGCTTAGTGATAGCGTATGCACCTAGCACATGCAAGGCCCTGGGTTTGATTCTCAGCACCACATAAAAATAAATAAATAAATAAAATAAAGGTATTGTGTCCAACTACAACTAAAAAACATATTAAAGAATAAGCACTATTAATTCAATCTCCCAATCCAACCACTTTCCAAAGTCAAGTCAAAAAGTAATTTCCTTATTCTTAAGCTAATTTGAGTTTCTCCAAAGAATACTAGTGTAAAACTCTTTCTAAAATGTCGTCTTTGGATTTATTATATTGAGAGCGTTGAATGCAATTTACTACCCGTATAATATAATGTATAATCTGCAACTTATACATTGTCCTAAATGTAAAAATGGGAGTAAAATAAAGTAGTAGTTACTTGGCAAAGCTTTGTGAGGAATAAATGAGCTAAAACACAGAATACCAACTGCCATTTTGAGCATTTAACAAACATAAGTGCCCTTCTTTGGTTTTTCCAAAACAACAACAAAATAGTTAACATTTGAGTAATTCTGGCTCTAAGCTCATCAATGTGTGTAGCTACCATGAAGTAGGTCCTCTCATTAGAGATGTCTCAGTATTGTAGTTTATCCAAGGAGACACACACCACAGGAGAACTGGGGTATGAATGATCACATTATACAATCATAGAGTCCTGTTTTCTGGATTTTGTTTTCTTTGCTGTGAGGCTCTCACCTCGCCTATGTCACCAAGCTCATCTTCAGAAAATCTTTTCAAAGTTTAGTATTTCTCCTCTTCTGTGGAAGAGCTCATCAATTTCGCTGCACATTTAATATTGAATAAGTGCAGATCTGAGAGGTACAATATACAGATAATATGGAGGATAATATGGAGGTTTAGAAGCTGTTTATATATTGTGCAAAGCATAGTGTCAATGTGTTATATATACATATCTTCGCTCTACTTTCAGTTATTCCCTAAAATAAATGCATAATTAGCCATGATAATATATAATGTTTACTGAGTACTTATAATGTGCCAGGCACCCAGCCAAACATTAACCTAAGTATTTAATTTACTCATAACCACCATCAGAACTATCAGCGTATGCTGTTGTGGTGGCGCATGCCTGTAATCTCAGTAGCTTGGGTGGCTGAAGCAGGAGGATCAAGAGTTCAAAGTCAGCCTCAGCAAAAGCAAGGTGCTAAGTAACTCAGTGAGACTCTTGTCTCTAAATAAAATACAAAATAGTATTGGGATATGGCTCAGTGGTCAAGTGGCCCCAAGTTCAATCCCAGGTACACACACACACACAAAAAAAAGAACTATTGTAAAAGATCAATAGGAGCTGAGGAAGCTGTAGTCCCTGGATGCACAGGGAGCAGTGGGAGGACAATGTTCAGTGTGTGAGGGCCACACCCATCAGGCTAATTCCCCACACTTGCCTGCCACCTAACACACTGTGGAGCACCCAGGAAGTGCCCAAATCTTCAACAACAACAAAAAAATTATCTCTAATAAGAGGACACTTTCAAATTATATAAAAGGGGACTGTAAAATGAGAAGGGCATGTATTGTGTAGCACAGAAAATATTTTTAAAGGCATTCTTTGTTGACAATTTGTGGTACCTCCTTTAATCCTAAAATGTTCTTATGGTCATTATGAAACATATTTCCCTTCCTCTCTTTCTCAGGCAGATTTACATGATCTAGCCACCTAACAGCCAGCCAGTGATATCAGAAGCCTAGGGCTATATAGCTAAAAATAAGTGAAGAGGATGATCAGAAAAACTGAGTGCCATGAAACAAGTTTGTGTTTATTTTATGACCAATTGAATTCTCCACACCCTCAACCCCCCTTTTTTAGTATTATGAGCAATATTGCCATTATGATACATTATGATAGCTATAAGAGTGAAAGGATTAATTAAAACAGTAATTATCTGATAAGACTAGCATACCTTCTAACCTAATTTAGGGCAAATTCATCTACTTCAACTAAAAATACTGGACAGGGAAAAGAAACATGAATAATGAAATAATAATTAACCCTGCAGTTCTTGTTTCCACTATATATTTCTAAGTAACCTAAGGTATCAAATAAAGAGTCATAGTATGTTTTTAACTTTTATTAACAAGAGTTTTGAGTACAAATAAATTTAACTTGACATTTAGAAAAATGATTTACTCTAAAACTTGTCCATTAAAAAAAAACCCTATTCTGTACATTTTAATCTCCAATTTTAATATTTAACACCATAATGTTTTTAAGTCTACAACTCAATTTTAGGTTTAATTTTAATAATTGTCTTATTGCATCTGGTTACAGATATCATGTAGAAAAAAAAGCAAGATGCTAATTAGAATAATCTGAATAAAAAAACTTTCCCAAAAGCCTTTATAAAGTCTTTTAAAATAAAACATAAAAATTAGAATAGTTTTGGCAGAAAATTAGCAGTTATAAACAAAATTATTACATAATATTTTATCAAGAACTGTATTATAAATACTATTATGCTTATTACACATATTAGAATGATTTGCAATGTAGTAAATGCAGATGTAGAAAATCTAAGAAAGCTTTTTAAAACAGTTTAGCACTCTGGGGAGTTTCTGTTCCCAATAAATGACAGGAACACAATTTATAAGATGATAGGTGGTACATCCTTTAATTAGAGGCCTAACCACATAAAACATTAGTCATAAAATGTTATTCTCTACTAAGCATTTGTAACATCTCCAGATACACTAGTAATTCTTTCCCCTTATCAGTATACATGCTTAGCATCAGAAACCATACTATGAGCAAATTATACAGATAACTCTTGAAAAAATATCTCACTTTGGAATAACTGTCAAACTTAAGTTTTTATTCTTCTGGACACACTCTTTCCTCCAATCTTCATTTTAACAGTGTTTTCTCCTTGAATGGTGATATACTATTAAAACCCAATCATACCCGGCATATTCCTTTGCAGCTGAAATGAATTACAAATAACCAAAAGAAAACCAATGCATTTCTACAGAAAACTATCCAACCTACTCTGCAGGGCAGAAGCTCTCCACCCCGCACCAAAAAAAAAAACCCACCTTTTATCCAAGGCTGCTTTAAAACTAGTCCTGTAAGTTCAATTAGTATTAGACTATTATTGTCTCCTCAGTGTGAGGGAAGTTCAAATCTTAAAAAGTATTAAAATTTTCAAATGACACTACTTTCTGTAAACATAATTGAGTTGAAAATCTTTCAACTCAAGATTGAGTTGAAATGAAGTTTTTTTTCTATTTCTTGTATTTGATATGAAATCTTACACCCAGTCACTGAGATATAAAGAATGTATGAGAACAAGTAGAATTACACTGTACCCAGGTCTCTGGGGAGAAATGCCAGAGGAGAACGGTCCACATAGAAACTGTATTCTGAAATTCACCTAAGATGCTACAGAATTGTAGTTAAGTGATTTCAGGATATTGTAATTGAGAAATGAGTAGTGTTTAACTGAGTACTTTCAGAGGAATGGGAAGTCCCAATGTTGTCACAGCTACCACTCAAGAACAACTCAGCCTTGCCACTTAAGATAGGGACCTTCACCCCTATCCATAGAAGGCAGGCTTCTACATGGCATCAGATTTCTACCACCTGGACTCTACCTTTCTCACCACAGAGTTTTTCACCCTTAATTTTCATTCAGTAATCAGTGAGAAGATTATATTTATCTGAGACTCTAGTCAAAATAAATAGGGATAAAAGTAGAAAACAATTTCCAATGAAGTAAACTTCCCATACAGCTAGTTTAAGAGGTAAAACATTTCTAAGTAAAAATAAAATAAGAGAATATTTTTGGTTTCATTCAAAAAAGCTCTCTTCATTCCTGGCAAACTACTACGTTGTGTAGATATAATGTACTTTTTAAAAAAATCCTTTTTTTTTACTGTATTTAACTACTTGAAATCATTCCTTAATAAGGACCTTTTAACATTAAAAAGTCTAAATGTTTATCATAAATACTGTATTAAAATATTTTAATATTTACAATTTGAAAAAATGTATACTCTAGTCAGTCATCTCAGTGCTACTTCTTCAATTTCATCTTCTACAGAATCAACTGCTTTTACTGCTGGTTTATTGTTTGCATGTTTTAATCGGTGTCTATTTGGATTAAAACTTTTTCCTTCACCAAGGAAATAGTCTTCATCTTCATCATGTTCTCTACCCCTGCTGCTTTTATCTCCAGGGAGAAAATTTAGAGACTCAAAGTCTCCTTTGCTGGCAGCCAGAGAATTTGGGTCACTGCTTTTAGAGGAAATGGGACTGCTGCCACTAGTACCAAATAGCTGTTCCATCAGATTGGCTTTTTTTTCTTTTCTTGCAATGAAATCTGCATTGTCTTTACTAAGGTCTTCCATACTGTTTTTTTTTAAATCCAAAAGGCCACTTTTTTGGCTAAATGGATTTGACTTCCCTGGTGTTTTTGCAAATGAAGGCACATAGCTACCAAATGCAATCTCATTTGGAGAGATATGACTTCTAATAGTTCCTGAATTCCGACCCTCTCCTTTTGGAGTAAAAAAACTTATGTCTTGCAATTGATGCCCATTAAATAATCTCTCTGAGGATTCAGAGAACATGTATGTTTTGGAGATTTTCTCTGAGGAATGCAGTTTTGATCCCAAATCAGGTATTAATGGCAAAAGAGGACATTTTAGATTCTGAGAATCTTGAAGTTCTCTGTTGATTTCATTCAGTTTAGCAAGTAGCATTTCTCTCTTCAGTCTTTCTTCTTCTTCCTCTTCCAATTTATCAATACTTTGAAGTTCATACATTTCCATTTGGTAGCTTCTAGTCTCCAACTCAGGCTCCTCTTCTCCCTCTTTCTGCTTTTCATTAAGTTCTTCTCTTTCCCACTCTGTATGAAATAAAAAATTACAAACTGAATTTTATAGCAATCAGTATTTTTTTAAGAAGGGAAAAAAACCTACCATATTTTATAATACAACCATTTTTATCTAATTTTAGTATTAAAATAGGGTTCAAATGGACATCATAATATTTCACTTCTATATTTGTTTTTCGAGAATAATATATTTAATGTATACTTCATTTAAGAATCACACTTATAGAGAAACTTGTTCTTCAAAGTATGGATAGGGAAGGTTCTCATTTATTTAAATAACTAATATGATGCTATACATTTTAAGGTGGGTGACAGGATGGATGCAATCAAGCAAAGAGTTTTAAAGTTAAACCCTTGGATGTCATATCTTGAGAAGGGCACAATACCACTTACATAGTGTTCGACAGCAGATGCGTACAGGCACTAGGTATACAGTTCACTCTTAAATAGTTTTTTGGCTACTCATGCCATTTTCTATAATTTTGAAGTTATTTCCCAAATTAAACATTAAAAATACTAAAGTATACAAGAATACCACAAATGTGATAACTTCAGTAAATGGCATACATTCTCATTAATGTCAGAGATCAATCCATATAGACTCAAAAAAAAAAAAAAAAGATAGTCAAAAGGACAAAAACAAGTGACAGTCTTCTGCTATTTTATTCCTTTTCCTGTTACCTAGATGGAACTGACCATAATACCTAATTTTCTGTTCTGTAGTTAAACATGTGAAAGCATCTTGTTCTGTCCATTAGCCAACAGTGATGTAAATATGGCTTCTCTTTCAATAGTTACACAGTGTTTACAATCACTGGGTCATGATTTTATGTTCCATGAATTTCCATGAAAGAAAAAGAAAGAAAAAGGATTTCTTTATAAGCAGATACTATACAACTAATGGAAACAGAATACATTCAAAAGATTATAGAGTTGAGCTGAGGCTGTAGCACAGTGATAGAGCACTTGCCTAGCCTGTGCAGGCAGGTCCTAGGTTCAATCCCTAATGTAACAAACAAATAAATAAAAAATCCCTCTTGCCCATACTTTTATGACATTTAATAAAGATGAAAATGAAAGTATTCTTGAACTTCATTTCAGTAACTAAACTTATAGGAGTTATTTCACTAAACTTCTACATAATGATTGAACATATTCAAGATTTACTTTGCAAATTAAAATCAAATAAAAATTGCAAGGATACATTCAGGTCCTCGTATTTCATTGATTTTTACACTTAAGCTAGTCCATGGTACAGAGTCCCAAGGCTGAACCAATAAAGAAAGCTATTTTTCAGCTATTTCTTCATCAAGTTTTAATTCATACACAAAGAATTTTCCCCCTTCATTGAGTTGTTTCATCTGAATTTTCTGAAGGTAACCTGTTTTTATTCTGTAACCCCAAATAGTGAGTAATAGTCAATATATTTATTTCCTTAATAACTTCATTCAAATGGTTGTGACTCCTGATATACCACTGCATCAACCTTTTCTTATTCTGTATAACCAATTCATGGTTCAGCTGGACAATACTAAGGGATCCTAACCATTTCTTTCCCAAGGGATGCTGATTCATTACTTGCTTAAACAAAGTCTTTTTCTTACCATTCTTTAGTTTCTCTATCTCCTGTTTTGCAATTTGCAGTCCTTGATCTTTAATGCATTTTTCTTCTTTGTTCACAATTGGGTTTAGAATCCCTGCTTCTTCATGCTTATCTTGCTCTTGGAATTCCAAGTCCTAGTATACATTTTAAAAATGTAAATTTACTTATAGAAAAGGGGAAATACTATTTAAATATTATAGATTTCTCTTTCATTGTTAGAAATTAAAGCAAAATTTCATCTTTAATGAATCAGAAAATCACAAGTTATCATGCTTTGAAAGATGCTTCAGAAACACATAGGATTATTTCTTACTTTAAATTTTTAAAGAAGCATTTATAAGTGATATCAAAACCAATATAATGGAAGCAAATCCAACATCCTGCACAAAATTCTGAAAAAAAAAATAAGTTGCAGAAGCATCTTCATACATTCTCACTACAAAATGTTAACCAGATTTTGTTCAATAGCCATTTCTGGTTAACCAGAAATGGCTATTAAACAATTATGGTAGCCAACTGAGACATATGTAATTTTTCTTAATAAAAATAAGCTATCTTTATTAGTAAGATTCACTTTCTTTAAGAACAGAATTCCCTGAGTTTCGACAGGGCACAGGGGCTGCTCTGTTGGATACTACATTTGCTAGCCTCCCTTGTACCTAGACAAGACCAAAGTGGGTGAGCAGAAGTGTGCATGCAACTTCTGATCACATTTATAAAACAGCTTGCCCTCTAACTTGTTTATTCCCTTTTTTATAGAATGGTAAGCCAGTTCCAAAAATACAGAAGGACTATACTCTAAAATGCAAGACCAGTAAAATAGAGTGACTACCACAAACAAAGTTGTATATACCACCAATCCTGGACAACCCATTTGACTTTAGTCTATTAAAAGAGAAGGGTATTTGTTATCCTACTTTGACCACCATATTTCTCAAAGCAAGTTAACCTGCACTCTAACTAAGCTATCACTTGCTGAGGTCTTTTAACAGTGACCTCAGTCTTAAGAGGCTCAGGCTAAGAGCTTTAGAAACTTCATAATTAGTCATCTTTATAATCCTGAAAATCACTCCCATTTTAAAGATGAGAAAATTGAGATTGAGACTCTAAGGAGTCAAACAACTAAAATGTTAAGAGCCATAATTTTTAAAGCAGATCAAATTCTAAAGCTATATTCTTTTCACAATACCAGGCTGCTGATGCTCCTGATGAATCTTTTTAATACTTCTTAAAAATACTTTAAGAATTACTCCATTATTCTCTACCATTTTAAAGACATAACATGATCTGGTCTCAAAGGGTAAATACAGGAAGAAACAGCAAGTACAACTTATGTATCTGAATTTTTCTAAAACAAAAATGAAATTAAAAAGCTAGAATACACCAAGGAACCAAATCAGTCCATTTCTGATTTATACCTTAAGAGATGTCATACACTGGGAAACTTTATAAGGTACAAAAAAATATAACATTATATGAAATGTTCTGGATCCCTGAAATATTGTTTTTTTGAATTGTAAATATTGAAGACAAAACCCTCTTAAAGGGATCTGCAAGTGATTTAATATGAAAGTCCTTTTAAATGATACTCTAAATTCCACTCTTAATTTGAATGGTATGTCAGATTCCATCCTTGTTCAGCATGCAGTTAACCCATAAAATTCTCAGGCCCCAAAATATTACATTTAGTCAAGTTCTTAAAAAAAAAAAAAAAAAATCACTTGAAACCTTTAGTTTGCTATTAAAATAAATAAAAGCACTGAGGGTTTTCTAAGAATATATAAGCAGATAGAGAAAAATGTATTCCTATTATCTTCAACCTAGAAGGTATGATCAATCTCTCTGTGAAGCAACTGAAAAATGCAATGTAAACTAACTAAATTTCAATCCAAAGAAATTTAATAAAATGCACAGTTGTTACTACCTCTTTCTCTTTAAAAGGCTAGTTGAATATTCATACAGATATAGTACTAGGCTCCACCACTGAATTTTTAAATGTTTGATACTATGTTTTTAGGGACAACTTTAAACCCAGAGTTTGGCGCATAATCAAATATGGCTGAACTCACCAAAGTAAGACATTCTGGTTCCTCCCATTTATTTTCACAAATCATCATTGTTTGTGGTGTTACAGGTAATTCTTCCAACTCACAATCTTCAATGGTTTGTACTTCTTTTGTACACAAGTCTGTAAAATCACTCTGGCATGCAGCTACCATGAAAACAGTACAAGAATTTTTCTAATCCCACTGAACAGTGGTAAGATACATAGAATTCCACTGGTATATATGTTAATCTAAATGAGATACTGCATGTTTTGCTCAGCCCAACAAATGCACATTATTACTATTTTTGTTTCTAAGATTTATAGGCAATTATGGGATTGGGGGGCAATTCTCACTGTAAATTCTATTACTTTTTACAAATTTTTTTTGGTCCTGGAGATTGAACTCAGGGGTACTCAACCACTGAGCCACATCCCCAGACCTATTTTGTATTTTATTTAGAGACAGAGTCTCACTGAGTTGCTTAGTGCCTTGCTTTTGCGGAGGCTGGCTTTAAACTCATGATCCTCCTGTTTCAGCCTCCTGAGCCACTGGAACCACACCTGGCAACGTTTACAAATTTTATGTTTTAAAACTCTCTCAATTCATAGAAGAAATATACTTTCATTTAAAAAAATGCTAAATATTTATAAATGAAATGTATTTAATCTAGCAAAAGCAGCAAAAAGCAGATAAAATAAAATTCTCTCTACTTTGGGTATGTTTATATATTTTCGCATGATTCAAAAATTACTATAAGAATTTTTCAAAACAGCATGTTACTTAATTTTAATAACCTCTCTTCAGGAGAAAAAAACTGACAAGGATTTCTGAAAATTAACTATAACGAAACAAACTAAAAAATTGAATTGAATTTAAATGTATTTCAATGGGGTTGTTTATTGTTCTTTCCTTGTACTTCAAAATTAATTAATTTTATTAATAAATAATAGCTACAGGGGCTGGGATTGTGGCTCAGTGGTAAGGTACTTGTCTAGCATGTGTGGGATACTGGGTTCAATCCTCAGCACCACATAAAAATAAATAAATAAATAAATATATTGTGTTCATCTACTACGAAAAAATATTTAAAAAAATAAATAATAGCTACAATATCAGTTTTCAACAATAATGTCTACTATACCATTCTTCCTTGGTGTAATTTCTTTTTCTTTCTTTAGAAAGGACTTTGGCAGGCGATTAGAATATATGTTTTTTATGTCCAGTTCTCTCTCCTTTTCCTGAAAACAAATCCATATACAATGAAGTGAGGGTGTGTGTCACTTTGCCAATCAACATTTTCCTTAACAAACTGAAATAAACCTAGAGTTCAGCTTCCTTTTTTAACTACCAAGTAGAAAAAAATGTCTCTAGCACATTTAGATTAGGGAAGAGTAATGCTTTTTCCTATGAAGTCCAATGTTCTTGACCATTTTGGGACTATGACTCTGAAAATTTGATTAACAAAAAGAAAATTATGTAAGATAATAAATGATTTTGCACAATTCTGCACAAAAATTCAATCCATCATTGATCATTAGATAAAATTAAGAATATGTGCTTTAACAACATTAAATAATTTGAATGATTCTTCTAAACACTATGAAAATCATGTGACCTTGATCTTCTGAATTTGACTTATTTCACTTAACAGAATGGTTTCTAGTTCCAAGCATTTTCCTGCAAATAACATAATTTTATTTTTCTTTATGACTGACTAAAACTCCATTGTGCATATATACCATATCTTTATACATTCATTCATTGATGGACACCTAGACTGGTTCCATACTTTGGCTATTATGAATTGTGCTGCTTTAAACAAGGGTATGGGTATATCATAGGAAAATATGTAAAAGTCATAAATTAATTCTTTAGAATAAATACTGAGGAAAGGTGTATTTGGGTAATGTGGTGGTTCCATGCCTAGACTTTTGAGGAACCATCACACTGATTTCCATAGTGGGTTATACTAATTTACAATTCTACCAACAATGTAAAAGTAGAACACAGATTATTTAACCAGGCAACAAAAATGCTAGTTCTTTCTACAGTTTTCTTCCAGGATTTAACAATTATTTCACATTATTCTTACTGCTTTACTTTGTATAATTATATCAAAACATTTTCTATCTAAGCACCAAAGATAATAACAGAATTTTATAAATTATACCATACCAACCTAAAAACATGAATAGTAAGAATGTTTTAAAATATTGGGTTTTCATCAAGTTTATATTACAGAGAAAATAATGCCATTTAATGTGTAAAGTGCTTACTTTTAATTTGTGATACAGTCGTTGTAACTCCTTTTGAAGAACTTTGTTTTCATCCTGAGCCTCATATGCCCTTTTCCTTTCAGCAAGCAACTGTCGTTGAAAACTGTTAGTACTTAGCTCAAGGTTTTTCGATAATTCCTAGGTGTACAAACATATTTCAAAAACAGTATTAATTAAAAGAACCCAATAGTAAAACACAGCACTTAGAGGTGTCAAAATGATGTTTTTAGTGATTCTAATTTTAGACATAAAATTAGGCTGGCTGGACTTGGTCTTCATGAACGTAAAATAAACTGGGAAATAGATTTACCAACAATTTAATAAGATACCTACTTAATTATTTCTTTTAGCATTTTTCACAGTGATTTGTAAATATATTCTTAAGCATTTGAAGCACGCACACATAGAGCAAAAAGATAGCCAAAGAATGGGATAAGAAGCATAGGCTTTCAGAAATCACTGCTTAGGCAAGGTGCAGAGGACAGAACACATCTCTGGATAAAAACTACAGCTATTACCATTGTCTTTAAATATCTCCCATGAAGTTTATGAAAGTATTTAGGCTAAAATATTTTCTTTTAAAATAATATGTCGGGCTGAGTTGTAGCTCATTGAGAGAGTGCTTGCCTAGCACATGTGAGACACTGGGTTCAATCCTCAGCATCACATTAAAAAAAAAAAAAAAAAATAAATATATATATATATATATATATATATATATATACATATATATATATCAAGATACCATTCCTAACTGAATGGAAAAAAAAAAACATGCTTTGTATATGCAAAAAAGTATTATAAAATCACAAAGAACATGCCTGTAATCCAAGTGGCTCAGGAGGCAGAGGCAGGAAGATAGTAAATTCAAATTTCAAAGCCAGCCTCAGCAACTTAGCAAGGCCCTAAGCAACTTGGTGAGACCCTATCTCTAAATAAAATATCAAAAAGGGCTGGGGATGTATTCAGTGGTTTAGCACCCCTGGGTACAATTACAGTATACTTTAAGATATTATAAAACTACAAATAAAATCAGAAAATAAAACAGTCACAATCCCATTATCCTGTGATCATGATTGTCAACATTTTAGTGTACATAATTTATGACTTTTACATATTTTCCTAATATAAATGCCTAAGCCAGCAGAATTTAATATAATTTTTTTAAATGGAATACTTTTCTATCTTCTTGTAGTAACTTGTAAGTTCTGCTATTCACCACTAATGTGTTCCAATTTTTTCTATAGTGAATATCCTTGCATATATAACTTCAAACATATCTTTTATTATTTCCCTAGGGTAAATATTAAGAAAGAAATTTTCTTGGACTTTACTGAAATTAAGAATTCTCCTCTTTGAAAGAAACTGTTAAGAGAATGAAAAGATAAGCCATAGTCTGAGAAAAATATGTACAAATCATATGCTACAGTACATATCAAAGAAAAATGTATATGTATATATGTATGTGTTACAAAATTCAGTAATTAGAAACTAAACAGCTCAGTTTAAAATGGAGAAAATATTTGAATAGATAATTCACCACAGAATATATAAAGACAAGCACAAAGAATGATGCCTCAATATCATTTGCCATAATGTATGCAAATTAAAGCCACATGAAACAATATTTACTATTAAAATGTCTGAAACTAGAAAAACTAAGCACACAAAATGTTGGCAACGATGAACAGCAATCAGAACTCATACACTTTGGGTTGAAATATAAAATGGCATAATCATTTTGAAAAATTGGGGCAGTAAACATATACTTACTATATAATAGTCATTTCACACTTAGGTCTTACCCAGAGAAATAGAAGTCAATCTCCAAAACTTTTGCATGAATGTTCATACTACCTTCATTTATAATAGTCCCAAACTAGAAACAACACAAATGTCTACCAACAGGTTAGTGAATACTTAAAAAGTGGTATATTTCTATTATTCAGCAATAAAAAAAGATGAACAATTAATACATGCAACAATATATTCGAATCTCAAAATAATTTTGCTGAATGAAAGAAGCCAGGCATTAAACAATGCATACTGTATGCCTCCACTAAATGCAAATTAATTTATAGGGACAAAACAATGAGCTAAGTATAGGTGATAGGGATTGGTAAAGGGACAGCAAACAAAGGGACATTTGGAGAATACTACATATGAGAAAAGGCAGTGGCACAGCAAAAGAAAGAAACAGCCCATCACTTGCTGCCCGATTCACAACCAGGGGAGAGGAAGTTTCCCCTTTGCAGGAGGAAAAGTAAAAATCCCAGCAAACTGTCAGCTCAGCCCAAATAGCAAAGGCACATGAAATATGCACAATAGTAAGGTTTTGGAAAAGAAATTCACTGCATTTAAGAGGGAAACTTCAGGAGACATCTTGAGAAGGGATCTATTATTTGAATTTAGACTGTTTTAGGGCTCAGAATCCTTGCATATTCCTATCCTTGGGACCCACAAACAACTCATGGCATTGGCTCTGCTGGTGGCTGCTTCCTAAGCCAGACTTGGCTCAGTGACACAAAATTTAGAGTGATATATGGTGGGGAATGGATGTTGAGGCATGGAAGTGAACTGAGTGCCATCTCTAAAATCAGGGAGATGGGAAGCCTGTCCTTAGACCAGAGGCACTGCCACTTATGTTACCCAGCTCCTATTATGAACTATTCCCCCACAATATCTGTCAAGCACTACAAAGAATGGGGCACACAGCCTAAGAAGGGTCAGAGAGGAACTTTGCCCAGCACTGGCTATATTCACCTCTCATTTTCTTCTGCCAGTATCTCTTGCCAGGGGTGATCCACTTACCCTTGATCCCTGATGGGCACTATTAAGAAAGTGAGGGGAGGGAAGAAAAGTCCTTGTTGTTGCCCTGTTTCTAGATATGCACAACTGCATGGGGGATGGGGGTTTGTCTGTAGTCCCATTCCTAGTGGGCATGCCCACAGTAGCAGCCAAGAGGAAAAACAACCATTTCATCCACAGAACTAATGAACACAGAAAAAATTTTCAACTGCAGGAAGCCATCTATGAATTACATGAGGGTCTTCTCTCATATGGTAGCCAGGAGATTTAGGTTTGGCATTGAGAATTATTTATTGCTCTCCCAAGGCAATAAATTGCCCAATGCATGTGACCTTTATCTCCAGTCTGCTAGGAAGACACCTCAGGAGATGGGCATAACCAATTGGGAACTGAATAGCCCAACTTTAAGCTTTTCTTTTTTTGGTGAAGAACATTCTATGAAAGGCCTTTGATGTTTCCTGATATAAATAAAGCAGGTGTGGGCTCTACTCCAGAGTCTGTAAGTTCGATCTATCTGACCAGCTTGCCCATCCTGCCCCAACTTTTAAAACTACTGTGTTCTGTGGTTTTTTCGTCATTCTATTCTTCCTAGCTTTTATTTCTCAGCCAGCCTATTCCACTGAGGGGAACCCCATTTCCACCACCCACGTGGGATGTGGGCAAGACTCAACAAAATACTAGCAAAATTAATTTAATAATATAAATCAAGATCATATGCCATTATCAAGGTGGTTTTCATTCCAGGAATGTAAGAATGGTTCAAAACATAAATCAATAAACATAATACATCACATAAATAGAAGGATAAAATAATATCATTTTCAACAGATGAAGAAGCATTTGATAAAATTCAACATCCCCCTTTATGATAAAATGAGCTGAACGAAATAGATTTAGAAGGATCATACCTCAACCAAATAAAGTCTATATGATAAACCCATAGCCATCATCATACTGAATGGGGAAAAACTGAAAGCATTTCCTCTAAGGTCAGGAACAAGACAAAAGTGTCCATTCTTATGGCTCTTATTCAATATAGTACTAGAAGTTTTAGCCAAAACAATCATTCAAGAAAAATAAACAAAATGCATACAAAAAGGAAAGAAGGGCTGGGTGTGATAGCACATGCCTATAGTCCCCACAACTCAGGAAACTGAGATGGGAAGATCACTTAAGTCCACTAGCTTGAAACCAGCCTAGACAACACAGTAAGACCTAACCGCAAACAAAAACTAGAGCACAGAAAGGAAGAAGTCAGTAGAAAAATCTAGAATTCCCCAAAAGACTGTTAGAATTGATAGATTCAGTAAAGTAGCAATAGGCAAAAATAATGTGCAAAGATCAGTACTTTTTCTATATACCAATAATTAATATGCTAAGAACTCCGAGAGCAACCTCACTCACAATAGCCACAAAAATAAGATACCTAGAATAAACCTAATAAAGGAGGTGAAAGACCTCTACAAAGAAAAGTATAAACACTGAAGAAACTGAAGATGACACTAAAAGATGGAAGGACCTATATGTTCATGGATTGCAAGATTCAACACTGTTAAAATGTCCATAGTGCCCAAAGCCATCTTCAGATTCAACACAACCCCAACAAAATAAAAATGACATTCACAGAACAAGTAAAAACAATCCTAAAATTTGTATGAAAACCCATATTTTGTATGAAAAGACCCCAAATAGTCAAAGCAATCTTGAGCAAAAAGAACAAAGCTGGAGGCATCATAATATATGATTTCAAGGCATTCTACAGAGTTATAGCAACTAAACATCATGGTATTGGTATAAAAACAGACATATTATAGACCCATGAAACAGAATAGAGAACCTAAAAGTAAATCCATACAATTACAGCCAACTGATTTTCAAAAAAAGGTGCCAAAAAATACAATGAAGAAGACAGCCTTTTCAACAAATGATGCTGGGGAATCTGGTTATCCAGTGTCCTAATCCCTCTCATCCTATAGAAGAATCGACTTAAAAAATAAATAAAAAACCTTAATATAAGACATAAAACCCTGAAACTACTAGAGGAAAACACTGGGGAAACACTTCAAAATAACTAGAATAGGCACATTTTCTTGCTACAACTCCCAAAGTACAGGAAATAAAAGCACAATTGACAATGGGATTATAGCAACTTAAAAAGCTTCTGAACAGCAAAGAAAACTGAATAAAAAAAAAAAAAATAACCTACATAATGGGAGGAAACATTTGCCAGCTATTCTTCTCAAAGAAGGTTAATAGTCAGAATATATAAAGAACTCAAAAAACTTAAGAAAAGTAATACAACTAAAAAATGGGCAAATGATCAAAATAGA